AAACTACTTGAAAACCCAAATCCAGCCAATTGAGAGATGAGTCAAAATAAAAGAATATAGGATTGAAATGCAGTGATAAAAGGAAATTGTGGTGAACATCGGGTCCAAATGAATCCATTTATAAAAATTGGTATTAAAAGTCATGATATTTTTGTCTACCAAAAAGAATGTTATTGTTAAGAACCTGGACAATGAAAAAAAAATCTAATGAAATGAAGAAATGAGAGGAGAATGGGAGGGAATAGATCACTCAATGGCATCTCTGCAGCACAGAGTTGATCAATATTAGTTAGAAATAAAACAAGTGACTTTTTAAAAAAACATAACCACTCCCATCTTCTGATGCTTTTCATAACGATTTTCATTTTGGAGGAGTTTTTAGAAAATTGTTTTAGAGATGAAGAAACATTTAATTGAAGTTCAATATTTTCTTTAATTTCACTTGATTCTTTTTCTTCTGTTAAATACAAATAAGATTAAATTTGAGATTTTTATTTACATAGTATCTTTACTATATGTTCATTTTTATGAGAGTATTTTAAAAATCATATTTTATTGTTTATCTGTCATTCTATGTGTATAAATATAAGTGAAGAGTTGACTGGATTGATATTAATAGTGTTTTTCTTTTTCTGTGTAATGGGATTCAGGATAATTTTTAAGTCTTTTATGTTTGTACATTTCTACTTAGTTTAAATTCTCTACAGTAACATATCAATTTTAGACAAAAAAAGAATTACACTCCTGAAGATTGGAAGCAAATACCCTAAGATGTTAGAAATGATTAATTCTGGGTAGTTGGAACATGAATGATTGTTATTTTATTCTTTGTATTTTTCAGTAGTTTTTAAATATTTAAAAAAATATATATATTTTTTAGAGACTGGGTCTTGCTGTGTTGCCCACTCTGGTCTCAAACTCCTGGGCTCAAGCAATCCTCCTGCCTCTGCCTCCCAAGTAGCTGGGATTGTAGGTGCATACCACCACACCACACCTGGCTTTCAATAGTTTTTTTTTTTTTTTTTTTTACTTTCAATAGTTTTTAAATCTCCCCCACCATCCCCAATAAAAGCAGTGAAAAGAGCATTGGATTTTAAATCAGAAGTTATTCGTTGCTTCCACTACCCATTAGCTGAGTGATCTTGGGTAGGTAAGCTTTAGTTTTCTCATCGGTCCAGTGGTTATCATCACCTTGCTCCTCAGCTTATTTATGAAGATAAAATAGGAGAAAGTAGAGAAGCTGGCTAGCGCCATGCCTGGCTCATAGGAGGGGCTCTGTGTTGGTTAATTCCATCCTTTCCTCCATTACCTAGGGCTGCATTGAGCCTGGCAGATATATATCTTTAAGGTATTGTGCAGGTAAGCTGGAAGCTGAATCTTTGATCACCTGGAATGGTGAGGCTAGCCTTTCCTCTCCTACATACTAAATCTACTCAGCTGGATGACTGGGGAAAACAAAAACCTGACCTGGAAGCTTAGATGTGGATGAATTTCACTTCCTATTATAAAGATGATATATCATTGTGATAAAAATTCACATAGTTCAGAAGGGTATCTGGTGCTCGACCTTCGACATCCAAATGCTTATTTTATCTCAGGCTGCCTTTTCTACCCAGAGGCAGCATAAGCATTCTGTGTCTGATTTTAGATGTGGAAAACAATGCAAGTGCATTGGACAGTAGGAATTCCTCATGGCAGGGACAAACATAAAAAAGCAGTGACTTTTTTTCTCCAATCACTTCCTCTAGTCGTATTTGGTTGACATCTTTCCTGATATTTAATGACATCAAAAGACCTCAACCTCATATCCAGTGTACTGCTCACCCACTTCTTCCCTTTCCCCAGTGTAATCAAGGCCTGAGGAAGGAGGGGATTTGGAGTGCTCTCTCTCCGATTCTTTGTCTTCCCTACTCAAAGAAGCCCAGTGATCACACAGTCACTGGACAAAGGGCCATGTAGCTGGAGAATGAGAGGCTTGATGTCCCTGACATCTCTGTGTGAAGCTCCCAGAGTGTACCCATGCCCTGC